GGTCTAATGCAATACCTACCTGCCTGCAGAAGGAAGAAAGTTTTCCTTTGCTACTCTTGATGGAATAAAAGAGTGATAGAAGGGAGGAAGAGTAGGGAGATTGGTTCTTCCTGCTTCCTTCCTCTGGAATTTTTTTTTTTTTAAGGGAGGACTTATATATGACTTTTATTGTTTTTTAAATTTTTTAAATTTTTATTATGTGCTATTAGCATATTCATTCCTCCAAATTGTGATTTTTCTGTATGCCCTTTACCTGACGTATCACTCCCCAAACCTCCTCCCTCCCTCCTCCCTATCTCTAGTATCCTTGGGTTTGTTCTCTCCTTCTGAAACTTAAACATATCCTTGTGGTTCCTTCCTTCCTTCCTTCCTTCCTTCCTTCCTTCCTTCCTTCCTTCCTTCCTTCATCCTTCTCTCTCTCTCTCTCTCTTTCTTTCCTTTCCTTCTTTCCTTCCTTTTTTCTTAGCACCAGTTATGAGTGAGAACATGTGGTATTTCTCTTTCTTTGTCTGGCTTATTTCACTTAACATAATTTTCTCCAGACTCATCCATGTTGCTGCAAATGGCAGAATTTCATTCTGTTTTATGGCTGAGTAGTATTGCATTGTGTATATATACCACATTTTCCTTATCCAGCTGTCCATCAATGGACACTTAGGTTGGTTCCATATTTTGGCTATTGTAAATAGAGCTGCCATGAACATGGGAGTGAAGGTGTCCCTTCGACATGATGATTTCTTCTGGAAATTCTTGAAAGCTAGGGCCTACTACATGATCATACATGGTATCCATTACCTGTTCTTACTCTCTTGAAACTTGCTTCTTGTGGTATTAGGCATTTTTCCTTCTCAGGACCATCTTGTGGAAGACAGGAACAAGGCCAACTTCATGGGCATGCAACTTGTTTGGTTACATAGGACCTCATGCTCAGAGGGCTTCGTATTTGCTGTCTTGAAACTCACAATAATTTTATCTTTGAACTTGTGTTTGTAAGTGAAGTCTGATGGAACAATAGAATATACACTAGTGGCTTGCAGCCTTGCCTCATGCACTGTCTCACTTCCTGCCACCTGCCTGTCTTCCCTGGATGGATTCTCAACCATCCCCTTCTCTGATCCTTGATACCCCAGGAATCATTAGCCTCCTTCTTTCTGCTCCCATCCATGACCACTGCTTCCCTCTATCCCCGGCAGGGGCCTGGGTGCAGGTACAGGAAGGTCTGAGTTGGGCATATGTGCCTTGCAAAATCTCAGGAGGGGCATGGTAGCAGCCATCCCTGCCCTGGGATGGCACGACTGTAATGTGGTAGACAGAGACATGTCTTGATGCGGTAACCTCCTGTCCACCTCTGATCCGGGTAATTAGCAAGTCCCAGTGAAGAGGCTGAAATACCCTTAGGGGTATGCGTAAGCATCTAAAGAGTTGTCTTATGTGGAATGGGACATGGGACCATGGAAAGAGAAATGCCTGACTCAACTTCCCCAGGGCCCACCAATAGGCTGGAGCACAACACATCAGTTTGGCAACTGGCAGGAAGGGGTGCCCAGCAGCATGTAAGCTGTGTGTATGCTCTAAATCATAGGAGGGTACAAGGCCTTTGGGCTCCTCTGAGTATCTGCACTCACCTTATGGTATCCCCTATGCCTGAAACAATATGATTGATAAAGCCATTCATTAGTTGTGACAAATGTACCACTACAATGTAAGATGTTCACAATAGGAAAACCAGGATGTGGGGCATGTGGGAACTCTCTGGATTATCTTTGCAACTTTTCTGTCAGTCTAAAAGTATTTTAAAATAAAAAGTGTATTAAAACACACACACATACACACACACCCCATGACAGGTTGGGAGAGAGAATGCATAGGAAAGAAAAAGCTTTCATACTTCAGCACCTTTCACAGCACTTTTTTCCTGCCTTTTGCACAAGGGGCCCCACAGTTTCACTTTGCACCAGGCCTTGCAAATTATGCAGCTGATTCTTACTATAAAATCCCTTGTGGAATATGCAATTCTGCTATCTCCCTTTCTGTTCCCCCTCACACTATTCCCCACTCCTCAATGCCAGGCCTCTAGATTTCTTTGATTGTCATTAACAATTACTCCTACGTATCAATCACCTGCTAAGAACTGGCTACCATACCAGGCATTTTATGTACTTTATCTCATTTAATCCCTTTGTAACTTTACGAGATAAATAGTCTTATCCTTATTTCACAGATGTAGGAAGTTGAGTTCCAGGATCAAACAGTAAGTGGTAGAAGAGAAAGGCAATATCCCTGATTCTCACTCCAAAGCTGGTGCTCTTTCCACAGCACTGCAGACGAACCATGAATCCTCCAGTTGCCCAAGTATTTGTGGACTCCTTGGGCGGGCACTTTGGTTTCCATTTCTCCAAGTCTTTACTGACTATCTGCTAGGTACCCAGCACTGGGTGTGGTGCTACAGCTACGAAGTTATAGCACGGAGGCCAGTTCTGGGCTGCACTGGTCATTTCCCTTGGTATATCCATAAGTAGCAGGTGTGTGATGTCCCCCATACTCAGCCCACTCTGACACCTGTGCTGCTTGCCTTAGTTACCATGATAAGAAGACTATAAAATGGGACCAAGGAGTTCTTGACTGTGGATTGAGAATTTGGGAAGCGACAAATCTAGCCAACCTAACTTCAAAATGTAATAATTTTTGCTTAAAAATATCGTGGTTTACCTGAATAAGAGAGGGCAATGGAGCAAAATCCTATGGCACCCACTGGCCAGTCACCCACATCTCATACTGTGCCAGCTCTGGAAGCACATGTGTGCTTGTTCTGTATAACAGATGACAAAACAGCTGTGGTGGTAACACCTAGTTGGTATATCTCGGAAGAGTCCTCCTTTTTTAGTGCTTCTGCTGGTATAAGTACGGTATTTCCTTTGTCAGGCTGGCATGGCAATTGGATCCCTTTTTCCCTCTTCATAAGGGAGAAATGTGACATATCATCTTACAGTCGTTTTTCGTATCAGCCAATGCAAAAGCCTCTGAGCTAACTGCTTACTCCCTGCTGTCCTGGTGAAGGTCTGATTTTAGTTACAGGAGTAACAACTTGGTGCTGTGGAAGACACCAACGTAGGAAAGCCCAAGTTGTTGGGAAGTGGCCGGACTTTTTCTTTTATTAGATAGAGGCAGGGAATGAGAATGGAAGGGTTCTGTCTCTTCAGAGAAAGCTTCCTTGGAAGAAGTGCTCTTCTGGAAGAAAACAGAGCAGGCAGAGGGGTGTTTCGGGCACACTAGAGAGTAAGTGAGGAGAATGTTCGGGTTGAGGCAGCATTGCAAAATTGAAGATGAAGAAAGGAGGGAAGGTATGTGCAAGTCTGGCTTGAAATGTGTCTTATTAAAGCCACCTCAATTCTTGTCTGCACATTTTTGAGGAGCGTGAAAAAAATGGAGGAAGTTACCTCGAGTGGTTTTGCGGCTTTTTAAGTATGACATACAGGATATTGAATTTTAACCCCTGTTTATCCTGAAGTATACGCATATTTGGGGGATGAACAGGGAAACTATTCTTTGAAATGTGCATCTGTGGCCAAGTGATTCCAGTCACTTGGAATCACACTTCTGTTTATCCCCTTTTCTGTTTCAAGTATTGAGTGCCACACACATAAAATTATTCATGTAATAATAAAAAGCTATGTGGTCTCCCTAGGATTTCTGTATAAACATGTGAAAAATATGTTTTAAATCTGACAGGAATGTTATATTAGAACTCCATATGAGATTTTTAATTTGATTTGTGCCTGTTGTGTGCTTGTGTTTCCAGAAAGCTTGCTAGAGTGGATGGAGGTTGTTCCCTCCAAAGCACTTATGTATGTGGGATAGTCTGACTGCTTTTTATAACTGTCCGTAGCTTCATTAATTCATCTGGCATTTATAAAATTAATTCAGTGTTTATTAACATAGGTTTTTAAAGTCAATAACCTTGAGTATTTGTTTAGAGCCACAAACTTTTGGAAATGGAATGACATGTTATGGATATATAAAAGCAGTTTTAATTATCCAGTAAAAATGTGATCTTGAACACAGTATTTTTGTATGGACCATCGAGAAATAGTTTCAGAAAGTCTAGATTCCTAAAGCGACAAATCAGAGCCCCCAGCTCTGCTCAAAATGAAAATCTGCAGCATCCACATCTGGCTCCACCTGAAAATCCGGTTCAGAATTTCCCTGTGATCCTGGCACTTGCAGAAGGGAAGTTTCAGCTTTGTTTAGTATAACAAGAGCTGCAGGACTCCCAGGCCAATAAATGTGCTCACGTAAAACTCCAGACAGTCTCTGTTAGACTGGAGTCTTATCAGGGAGACCTCATTTTGCCTCTAATTAAAGGAAAAATTCAGGGGAGAGGAAGGAATAGCCTACGCCTCTTACTGTGTTGGTCAATGTTTGCTGAATTAAAAGGTATTCCAACATGAACACATTCCCTGGAATGAATGACTGCCTAGCCTTTGAACGTAATGGTCAAACAGTTTTCCCCCAAATTTCGACTGTTTCAAAAGAAAAGCAGACTGAGAAAAAGCTTTCCTAATTTCTCCTCTAGACTGCAAACACTTAGAAATGACATCATGCACCCTAAAGAGCCCCGGGATGACTAAGGCAGAGAGAGCCTGAGAAAACTCTTTGCTGTTTTCGCCTTTAGTTTTAGGACACATTATGCAGATGAGCTTTTAAGAAATGGTTCCCCCGCCTTCTTCCTCAGAGGAAGTTTCTTGGTAGATCACTGACACCTCATCCAGGCAGGGGGGTGGGGGGATGGTGAGAACTTGGCACCGGCCACCCCAGGCAGAGCACCACGGTGATTTGTTCTCCTGGTGGAGAGAGCTGGAAGGAAGGAGTCAGCGTGCAAATAATGAAGGAGCACGGGGGCACCTTCAGTAGCGCTGGGATCAGCGGTGGCAGCGGTGACTCTGCTATGGCCAGCCTGCAGCCGCTCCAGCCTAACTACATGCCTATGTGTTTGTTTCCAGAAGAACCTTATCAAAAATTAGCAATGGAAACACTGGAGGAATTGGACTGGTGTTTAGACCAGTTAGAGACCATACAGACCTACCGTTCTGTCAGCGAGATGGCTTCTAACAAGGTAAGAGATGACTGTTTTATTCATTAAAGTGTGCCCACCCCTGCTTGGAGCTCTGCTCCCCTGGTCTCTGTCTGCAGCAGAGTGCACCAGGGCACATGACTGACTCCGAGGATTTGCTGTTGTGTCTCAGAAGATTCTGTCCCAAAGTGCCACACTTTGCTGGTGTCTTGATGCTACAGCAAAAGTTTAAAATCCTCAATAAGCGCTGATTTCCAGAAATCAAACTTCTCTCTTATTGATGCAGTTTAGAATATAAGGTGAGAGTTGTCTATAAAGCTTCCAAATCACTATACAAATGAAAATGCCTTTGTTTTTGTTTTTTTTTTTTACAATTACCAGGAAACTAAAATCCGAATGAGTCCTCCATACGGAAAAATAACATGCTGCATTGCAATCAGGTGTTATGTATACATTTTTAAACAGAAACGTAATTTGACCTCCATGTATCAATGAGAGAGAATGGTTTGCTCTTAAGTTTGATAAATTCTCTCTGAGAAGAAGAACATTCTGGGATTTTCTAATATTTCCTTTGTGATGCTGGCATGACCTAAGATAGAAAAGAGACAATATGCTTTGTCTCCAAAAACAGAAAGGTATTTTTTAAAGTTTGCTGGTTTTCAAAGTGGAATCATTTGAAATTAAGTTTCGCAAATACTGAAAAATTTGCTTTTATTTACAATCTCCAGATAAAATTAAATGTTGAAGAGCTTTAATTATCCATCATTATATCATTTGTTTAATTTACACCTGGACTTAGAGTGCTAATTTATATAGGGAGAGTTGTTGCTTTTGGTTTGTTTGTATTTTCCCTTTGGAGAACATTAACTTTATGAAGTTATGCACACACACACACACACACACAAATACACACATACATACTTTGATGGAAAGCCTTAACACTATACCCTCATAAGTGCACATTTTCAGAGTCCCCAATCATCCTAGCCTAAGGTATTGTGTTATTGTCTTATGTTTCCGGGCTGGGAAGAGGTTTTGCGATGCACCTGCCAGCCTGCCCTTTCCAGCCCTAAGGTGCATCACCTTTGGATCAAAACTTGCTGGCTCCTGCTCAAAGGATCTGAGCAGTGGAAACAATGCGTCCTTAGGAGATCCTCAAGGGGACAAGGGGGGGTATTCCTACTCTTTGTTAACTGGTTAATAAACAGGCAAAATAAGTTTCTTTCTGAAATTTTAGTTCAGAGCTCAAGTTGGGAAATAAAGAGAAAAGAACACATTTGAGATTTAACTTCTTACTGAGTTTTCTCTGAAGCTCTCAATTGAAGGCTAAATTCAGGGATTTTCCAGGCTGTTGTAAAACTCAACCAACTGCTTCCCCATGAGAAGAGCTTAACTGTGTAACTTCTCCAAATCACAGTGGGGCTCCACGTAGGACTTTCACACGTGCTCTTGCCTACTTTGAAGCATTAGTGGGTACTCTGTTCTCTGTATTGTGTGGTATTTGATATCTATGCAGGATGTAGATCCAATATTTAGGGGTCGTTTTTTGGCATGTTTCACATAGAGGACATGAGGAACTTCTGGAGTCAACAAGATAAAGCAGGCAACTAACTCCAGGAGGAGAAAAAGAATATTCTCTGGGAAACTACAAATTGCCATTATTTTTCATTTTGAGTGTTGATGCGCTATAGCATTCTAACCCCATTTGTGTCTGGAGCAATGAAATTAGACATTGTCTGTCTTGCAAATTTATTAAAAATAATTTCATATTCAGCACAGTAGTTAATAAGGCTCTGAGGCACTGTGCAGGTCCTGGTGAGAATTCCGATCCCTCAGGCTTCCACTCTTCCTTAGTGGTATCATGTGTAGGAAGCAATGAAAGTTGAATAGAGCTAACCCTAAAGTAAGGGTTAAACCTCAATGCTGATATAGTTAGCTTAAGTAGAAGGCATACCACCTCGCCCATTTTCTAGATTGACAGTAGAAAGGTTGTAGGGCAAAGCAATTATCCAGTGGATGAATAATGCCCAACTGACATTGAAGTCAATTTCAATTTTTGAGAAGATCTCATTTTTCTTAGCTACCTTTTTTTTTTAAAGTCCTGATTTTTAGATAATTGTCTCGGTTAAAGCTTAATCATAATGTATACCATGGCACATATATTATAATACAATGAGTATATTTTTGTATCTGCCAAAAAGAAATTTATGTATGCCAGTCTTTTGGGGACAGAATTATCTATGGTGAAAACAATTACACATTTAATTTTAAATGTTGTCAAAATTATGAGATTTTAACCCAAGTTGTCATTTAAAGATATGATTATCATCGTTACTATCATTACTGTATAGTCTTATTTGGTCATATTTTGCTTCTCCTTGCTGAACGCATGAGCCAATTTCTGAGTTACAGGCTTGGAAGAAAGTGGGAAGATGTTTTATGGAGTGAGTATATGAAGTGCATATTAACAGCATCCATTATATTTCTGCAAAAAAATTGGTGTCCCTAGTTCTATTTCAGCTAAGTAACCACTGAGTATTGTTTGCAATGTCTGAACTTACTTAAGAGCAGTGGTGGAAGAGCCGGTGTTATGCTTAGGGGGTATTAGGGAATTACATATGTGCCTGTCTGCATGCAACTGGTAGAGACTTGACTGTGTCTGGTGGAGGAAAAGCAAGCAGTCTTTCATATTTACTTCATCTGGGTAGGGTTGTGCTCTTTTTTTGTTCCTTTGTTTTCTTTAAGCCTTTTACGTTTGGAAGAAAACTAAGTTCCTCAAAGATTGTAACAGACTTTCACAACTATATTTCAGAGCCCACGGAGTTAGATAAGGATTGCTTCTGTGACTTACAAGAACGTAGTTTTCTCCTTGGCCCCCAATTCCCTGATCCCTTAATGCCAGCCACAGGCCAAATGGAACTCCAGAATGTTAAGAGAAAGATGCAGAGAGGTGGGTTAGTATTGTAGATTATTTCCCCCCAAGAATTAAAAGATGAAATAAGTTCAGCAGGAGTTTTACAAGGCAATGGCATTGTTTCTCAAGATGAAAAGGATGTCTAGTGAACCTTCTGCCAGCAGCCCAAGTTTAGTTAGATGTATTAGAGCTGTTTTGCTTAATGGCAGATTACCTTCTTAGATTCGTTCATTAATTTTTTGTGTTTCAACTTTCATCACCTACTGAATTAGAAGAATTGTCTTACACTTCGTCGAAATGCATCAGAGCATGAGTTTCTCAGTGGCAAAACAGTCAGATGTTTTGAAAACAGGATGCTTTGGCTCTGCATTACAAAAAGAGGAACGGAAAGAGAAACAGTATAGAAAGGAAGAAAGCAAATAACCTCAGCAGGATCCCCAGCCCAACAAAGGCATGAACAGTGACCTATCTTCCTGACCTTCACTATGGCTCAGTTCCTGACCTTGTGTCACCAAAGCCAATCGACGTCATTGGAGGAGGATAGGAGGAATGGCACAGCTGCTGTGAGGGTGACTAGAATTTCCTGTCTCCTTCCTGACAGACGCAGTCAGAAAAGTACAGGGTTGCAACAACAGTGGCTGAGGAAGGACCAACCCAGAACAATCCCAGTGAGGCATAGCTGTGACTGACAGGGAACACAGAGGTGTTCCTTCCCCCATTTTACTGAGAAACATAGTCTCTCACCTAGAATGTTCAGGTGAAAAATGTCAAAAGAGTCATTCGTACCCAGCATATTGAATGTTTTTCAAAAGATGAACATGCTGTGGTATTCAATAAGGAGCTATGTTCAAGCAACTAAACACTGTCTTAACTTCCCTCAAAGTCCCTTCACTGTCCTTTTTATTTTCTAGCTTTGCCCTGGAGCTATTTTATGTGCAATAAAAAGATCTGGTCCCTGTTGATGAAAATGGATGTTCTATTGTTGAAAAGAGCTGTACTGCATATCAGTACTTTCTTTGGAATGAAGCATCAGGACCTAGCACTTAAGTAAATGTTTGCTAAGGAAACTTGTAAAAAAGGAATGGGAGATAGGCCGTCCTTTTTCTCTTAAGGCATCATGAAGTCAGCTATAGATACTATCACATTATCATGGGGGAAGTAAGTGCTCCTGGCTATGTAGGTTTATTTGTCTGGTTCTTCAGGAGCAGCCCTACTGGCGTATGGAACTCTGAGTGCAAAGGCAACTGGTTGCCTATGCTCTTGGGTGGGAGAAAATAAAGTCATATAATTCTACCAGCTGGGAACCACCTGGGAACCAGGCTGCATGACACTGGAAAGTGATCATGACTGGCTGATTGCCCTAATGTTGGGTGAGTCATTTTCTATCTAACTAAGTAATCAATAACTATAGGAAATATTGGACCCAGCAGAACTGAAAGGAAATAAATCTTATTGGCCACCAGATTCATCTTAGAACTCTGTCAGGAGGATGGTAGGCAGGTGACCAATTGTTGAAAGGGATTAATGCCACTTTTGCCCAAAATTCAGTGATATTAGAGCAGTGCCACCCTTAGCACAAGAGAGGTCCTCTTCCTGGACCTTGTACTTTAGGGCTGGTCTTCCTCCAGCTACCCTTACCCCCACCCCCACCCCAGGAGGTGGTGAGTCGGCCAGGCCAAGGGAGCTCTCCACTCTAGACCACACTTTGCATCTTCTGGACCCCCACATTCTCTGCCCAAATGGCTTTGAACCCACTTCCAGGGCCTCTTCTCTCGACATGCCATAGGAGTGCACACCCTCAGACCCAAGGGGTAGCCAAGTGGCACCAATTTGGGGTGGGGAGAATTGCATGGGAGGAGCTTGGATATGCAGGCTGTGACAGAGGGCTCACACAGGCCTGCACAGGAGGCCCCTGGTGGTGAGGAAAGAAGAGGGCAGAGTGTGGTCCAGGAGTTAGGTTCCCCTGTACCACCTAAGGAGTTCTAGGCTCTAACTTCAATCTTACCTTCCAGGCTGTTATGAAGGGGTATTTGTCAAGGTAGGAGTATAGGAGAAAGCTCCATTTATATCTTTATATTTTTAGATTTGTGATGTGTGGCCCCACAAATGTTAGAGATGACCCCAGATT